GATCCTGAACTGAGGTTGGTATGTTATAGCATAAGGTCCGTATTACATATATCAGCCAAAAACATATATAAGCGGCAATTTCATCCTAATAACTACCTACCCCATCTCTTGGATACCTTTGAACTTGTACCCTCGCCTTTGACCCTTACCAAGATTAAAGTCGCATCTCGAATCCACCATGAAGGCCTCACGACTCCTATCTCTCCTCCCCGTTACCCAGGCCGCTGTCATTGACACCCGTCAGTCCAAGACCGGCGATGGCAAACAAGGTGACACCGACGCCACCCAAGGAGATCTCAGCCAAAGGCCACCGCCGCGCTTCCCCTTTCCCATTACCAAGTTCCCAGTCGCCAAGGAAACAGTCGTTCTCAAGAATTCCAAGTACATCATGCCTGGTGAGGTCTTCGATGGCAAGATGAAGCGGTATGAACGACCTGAAGGAAGCTGTAATGAACAAGCAGAGGGCACTGATGCTGATGCTGTGTTCAACTTGTTGCCTGGTTCGACTATTCGAAATGTCATCATTGGAAAGAACCAGGCCGAGGGTATCCATGCTTTGGGTGATGCCTGGGTTGAAAATGGTGAGTGGCTTTATCTGCCTTTGAATGGCTTGTACTAACTTGTGCAGTCTGGTGGGAGGACGTTTGTGAAGATGCTCTCACATCGAAGGGTTTGAACACCCAGTTGAGGGTCATTGGCGGTGGAGCACGAAGCGCAACAGACAAGGTAAGCAACAGAAATGAGGATAAAGCTTCCTTTCTAATCATTCCCAGATCTTCCAAGACAACTCGCTTGGTGGCAAGTACAATATTACTGGCTTCTACGCTGAGGGATTTGGAACATTCTACCAGTCCTGCGGAAACTGCCTCAACCAAGCCAAGCGCAACGCCACAATTCAGAACGTCATTGCCGTTGACGGTCTCAGAATGGGCATCGTAAGAACCCCATTCACCACTGATCTAGACTATTTCTAACAGATCTAGATCAACCCCAACTTCGGTGATGAGTTCCGTCTCAAGAACGCTCAGATCGAAAATGTCACTAGTATTGTCGACAAAGAAATCGGCAACAACGTGCAGACTGTTCCATACTATATCGGAAATGGACCTGATGAGAAGTATGCTTTGTATAATGAGACAAGGGATAACATTACAAAGTTCAAGGGCAAGGTTACGAACGCGTATGAGCCTGAGGATCCTTATGAGTGGCTTGAAGAGTTCTGGCCTGAGGGCTTCAACTGAGCTAACATAGGACCTCGTGTGGACGGAAGACGAGAAGACCTAGTCCAGTGTTGATGAAGTCTGTTGTGTACAGTTGAGGCTTGTGACTGAGAGCTTATGTCACCGTGTATAACTTAGAGATCCATAAAGATCTGAATTAATTGACAAAATGAGATTTTGACTAAGAAAACTACTCTCTCAATCTGGCCAGTGGCTCTGATACCCTAAACGGCGTTCATAGCCATAAGCCGAGTAAGTGTCTCCCCAGAGATGTTAGCCAAAGTATACTTCTTTAATACCTGTAAATCCTGCTTTAGACTAAACTTCACAAAGTCTTGTTTCGACTGGGTTTGAGTATAGACACGAATACTGTCACCAGGAGAACAGCTTGCATCCTGCGAGCCCATGATGCCCGACATCGAGTGACCTGATCCAGCACCCACCTTACTCCTGTCAGTAAGTACATTCAATGCATCCATAAGTCTAAAGCCATTGCCCGATGGCGGAGTGCCAAACGTGATGCCAGTTATTCCCAGGTGCCTCATCAACGTTGTTAGGGCAGTGGTTCGCATACCTTTGATAAATGATGCACTGGGTCGTTTGTTACATGTAGATAGATCTAGCCTCATATGATATAGACTTGGATCTCAAGACTAATATCAGTAGCATATAAGATAGCAACGTCAATCAGGGTTCTCTTTGGGAGGCTTACCCTTGCGTTGACTATATGTAGTTCTACAGACATCCTAGGCCAGCTCAGTTTGCATATCGCCTCCCAAGAAAGGTTGCAATTCTCCTAAACCAGTCATCTATGAACTATATTACTTATTAAGAATATGCCCTTGTTTCGTCTGCATCTTCATTGGAAGATTGTCAAGTCGGCTCGATATCTTCTCTGCCAGCTAACATTACTTATATCTAGAATTAAGTTATAGTCTGTAATAACAAGGGACTATTATCTTTATGTTACTCCTGTAATTAAACCCCATAAGTATCTGGATAGCAATATATATGTCTCTTCAATAGGGTGAATATTTCATCTTCAATTTGTTTATCATAGTGGATATACTAGACGCTGAAGCTAGATGTTAGTATAAACATGATAATGTTAGCAATAATATTGAAAAGCCCACAATATTCTCAGTGTTCAGGGTGCACACTGAAGGAGACTTCTTGTCCTGCAGCTTATTTGTTGTATCTAAGCATTCCAAATCACTGGAATATGTCGCTGCATCGTCGGGTTACACAGAAAGGCAATGCAACGTGAACCCTCTGTAGTATTTGTCACGCAACAAGACACTGTCACTGGAGGACCATTCCTCCTCGCTCAAACTGGATCGAAAGGTCCGCGTGCTGCACAACACATGCATAATACCATCTTCTATCCATATGAAGGGTCTAAGGGTCCTCATCTATGGCAATACTTTCCCCACCGAACTGTTACACTACAGGCTCAGAAGAGGGGCAATTCGGCCTCAGCTCCAATTTGTATTGGACAATGAGGATTATCAAAGCATGCGTCAGTCAACAGTTTCTCACCGAGGCCTTCAAATATTGCCATCGCTTCACTCCGCCAATCGGGACATCGGGATCCTTGTCAAGATTCGAACCAGGGTTATCTTTCAGTGCCGACCCGCAACGATAACATCATCAAGCCACCAAAAAATAACCTCAACTTCAACGGTCAATAACTCCCCGACTAAACACTAACCGTCGGTAGATCTCCATCTTTTGACAGCGTCGTAGCAGTCAAACTGGGGCTTCTTGCTGAGAAAGATGGTGACTACAGCTTACTAAACCCTGCGTGAAGCGGGGACTGCATGATGACAAACCCGCGCCAAAGGCTTACGAGCACCTTCAACCCGGTCTCGCAGCGGGCCGACCTTATGCATATTCGTATAGCTCCTCGTGGCGTCGCGGTGGCTTGGGCCAATATGCGCGAGGATAGCTTCGGCCGACTGAGGCGGACTTCATTTCCGACTGTGCATTTGGGCATGGAATCAAGGACCTTTGACTCCAGGATTACACAGCATGCCAAGATCGCAGGATGCAGAATTCAGAACGTGCATGTGAAGTATTCGAGGTTGATTTCCGAGTATATATAGCTGGGTATCAACCCAAGTTGAGGGAAATTCTTCAGGTTCAACAGCCATTTCACAGCTTCAGTACCAACCTGCAACTCAAGGCTTTCGACAATGAAGTTCAGTTCCATCATCGCCGCTGGCGTCCTCTCTGTTTCTGCTCTTGCTAAGAGCAGCTACAAGTATGAGCGTCTTGACAAGAACGATGCCGTGAGTTTGCCAGTGCTATCTGTTTCTTCTTGGTATTAACAGGTTTAGGTTCTCCTCGTGGTTGATATCCAGGAAGGTCTTTACCAGTTGACCAGAGATTGGGATCCTACTCTGTATCATCACCAGTCTATGGCTCACGCTGCTCTTGGTCAGGCTTTCGACATGCCTGTTATCTTAACTACCTCCGCCGACCAGGGTAAGTCCTCAACCTATCTTATCGCATAGACTCTTACTAACAGCTCAGGCCCCAATGGTCCTCTTATGCGAGAGATTCGCGAGATGTACCCCAAAGCCCCCCTCGTCCAACGCCAGGGCCAAGTCAATGCCTGGGACAGCGAAGAGTTCCGCGACGCCGTCAAGGCCACCAATAAGTCCCAGGTCATCCTCGCTGGTATCACCACCGACGTCTGCACCACATTCCTCGCTCTCTCCCTCCGTGACGCCGGATACTCCGTCTGGGCCAACATGGAGGCATCCGGCACTACCACCGCTCTCATCCGCGACATTTCCAACGACCGCATGCGCGATGCTGGTGTTCAGGTTGTCAGCTTGTTCTCTATTGTCTGTGAGCTTATGCGCGACTGGAGGAACAAGCCCGGTGCCAAGGAGATCTACCCTTGGCTCGGACAGTACTACCCTGCTGCTGGTTACATGGCTCGTGGCCATGCTGCGGCTATCACTAACGGAACTATCCAGCCTGGTGAGGATGGATACACTCACTACCCTTAGAGCTAGATTGATTTCTGGCACTAGCAGTTGTTGCCTAGATGGATGATGACTTGCTCTGGGAGCTGGCTTGAAAGGCAGCTGGATAGTCTTCAACTCCCGAAACAACCGTCTCTGTCCCCATTTGGAGGAGATGGTTTCAGATAGACTTTACTTCATTCTTCTTCACCTTTTACAATGAATGCACGATCATTGCTTCCTGAATTCTTTTTCCTACATACGTGACTCCGACTGACATGTCTTGAGGTCAACGCATCGTTCGGAATCGCCCGACAGCATCAGTGTACAATGAAAGGGTGAGTAAAGCCTTTGTGATACGAAGCCTTTATTATGCCGTCGGATTATAAGTCTCACCTTGCACTCCGCTCCCATCGGCCCATAAGTAACCAAGGTCTGGGGTACCGCGGGGTCCGATCTGCCCTGTTAATTGCAACCCTCTTAAATGAGTGCAAGAAATCATGAGACCAGGCTTATCAGGGCATTCCTGACAACTGAGAGAAGCGCAAGTCAAATTTGATTTCTGCCAATACTTTAAGCTTAACAGACCATCTAAGGGCACGGAATCTGACATTTTTGTTTCGATTGGTTGATCGCCAATCAGACCACCTCAGCCAAGACAACAGCACCTGATCATGTGCCACCAACACGTTGTCGTCAGCCATAACCTCAAGTCCAGCAAGTCTATAAGATCTCACTCTCAGACAGCTTGCAGAATGAGGGTGCGATTAATGAAGTTAATAATCAACGAAAGACAAGCATCACAATGATGGCATCAAATAGCACGCTCCCCCTTGCCATGCGCGCCGCCCAATGGCGCTTCATCAAAGGCGGCATCGACAAGAATCTCACCCTCGTCACCGACGCTAAACTACCCAGAAATACATCATCGATTCCAAAAGGACATACCCTTGTCAAAGTCGCATATGCATCAGTCAATCATCTTGACTACAAAATTGCTGAAATGCCTCTCACGAACTTCATGTTCTCCAAACCCGTCACGCCAGGTCTTGACTTCTCTGGCACGATAGTCTCCACGACACTGAATGAGTTCCAGTCCGGTCAGAAGGTATTTGGAAGGACAGAGTTACCAATTGGTGGAACTCTTGCGGAGTATGTTGTTGTTGGGAGCAAGGCAATGGCAGTGTTGCCGGATGGTGTTGAGCTTAAAGATGCGGCCTGCGTTGGGATCTGTGGGACGACCGCTTTGCAGTGCATGTCACCATTCGTGAAGGCGGATGATAGGGTGTTTATTAATGGTGGCAGTGGAGGTGTTGGTGTTTTTGCGATTCAGGTTGCGAAAGCTTTGGGATGTTCTCATGTCACAGTCACTTGCTCCGCTTCCAACGCCGAGTTTTGTCGCAGCCTCGGGGCTGATGAGACTATTGACTACAAGTCCGAAGACCCGATTGGAGTGCTCAAAAAGAAAGAAGACAAGTTTGACTTCATCCTCGACACGGTCTTCAACGATCCAGATCTCTACTGGCAGTCACATCGGTATCTCAAACCCGAGGGGCAGTATGTTTGCGTCGGTCTGCCGCCACGCTTTCATACCTTCAAAGCTCTCCTCACTATCAGTATGTTACCGGGGTGGCTGGGCGGTGGAAAGCGTAAGTTCAAGTACCACTCTGTGACCGCTAACAGGAAGGACTTTGGGCAGGTTGCGGATTGGATGAAAGATGGGAAGGTGAAGGCCGTTATTGAGGAGGAGTTTGGGTTGGAGGATACAGCGAGGGCTTATGCGAGACTGAAGGAGGGAAGGACGAGAGGGAAGATGGTTGTGCGTGTTGGGGGTGAAGCTGGTGCTGATGGATAAGGCATTGCTCAGTGAGGATGAGGGCCATGGCGTGACCTGACCAAGGTCAAACGAGATGGACTTTTGAGACATGAAAAGATTGTCTTGGGTATGGCAGGACAGTTCAGAGTTTCTTTTGGCATCCTCTTCTAAACAAATTGTATATCCAATTGATTGACATAATGTAATTTGTCTTACGTGGAAGGTCTTTCTTAACTATCACCTCAGAAGTCGAAGGCTCTGAGTGTAACTTGGCCAAACTTAAAGACCATGGCAACCACTTCCTCTGGAAAATCGGAGCGAAAGTCTTCTCAACTTAAGATAAAGCCGAGGACACCTCTACACAATCTTCCCATCCACCTCCTTGGAGATATTGTCATGAGACCTCTGGCGTCGCCAGTTGAACAGAACATGCGGCTTAGTCTTGATAGTTTCCCTCATCTTCTCCTCACTACTATCCATCCAAGCATTACCAGACGCAGCACTGACAGGATATAGCGGTGTTCCATTAAGCAAGAAATGGTCTGCACCACGGCGATCGAAGGAAGCCGTAATGTCTAGATCGGTTGCAATTTGATCGCAGAAGGTCTCCAGCGGCAAGTCGTTGACATCACGACCAAATGGATTCTCGATCTCTTGTCCAATGAACAATAGACCAAAGATGATGTATGCGGCCGTGATGGTAGCTGGGATAGCTATCCAGCCAAGAGGACCGGTCAACTGAAACGGCAACAGCATAACATACACAAACGTGATCTGGCTGATAGCGATGGTATATGCGATCGGCAAGGGGGTATTGAGCACTCGATCACACCCGACTGCTACGTCGTTAAGCATGGTGATGTGATTATACGCGACAGTTTGGTGGATGGCAACGGACAGCTGCTTGTTTGCGACGAGACAGTCGACAGAAATGGCCAGATGGTTCAGTATTTCAAGCGGGAGATTTCCTTGGTGCTCTTCAGCTCTCTTGAGGTGCTTGCGGGGATCGCTCTGAGCGAATGAGAGACCTAGATATTCACCAGCTACCTGTTTGAAGTTTGTGACCCTTCGCTTCGGCACGGCTGTTGTACGGCCTGAGAATGTGTCGAGGTGGGCGATGTAGGGTTGCATATCAGGTTGACTCGCACAATGCTCAAAGCGAAGTGTATGTTTCAGTGCAACGGCAAACCCAGCGATGAGCTTCAGCGCTCCAAGCTTCTTGACAAGCAGCTCTCTAGTGTCTTGACCATCAGCACCAGTATCTGCTGCATGGATCCAGATAATCCGTCCGAGGGTTTGCGAAGCGGTAGCTAACATTCCCCAGTAACGACGGCCCTCGGCGTAGCGCTCATAAGCAGTTGATGATCGAAAGGAAAGGCTGAGACCGACGACGAAACCGAGGATGGTGAGAAGAACAGAGTTGACGCTGAGATCATGAACTTTCTTGGATATGACAGTGATAGCAGTGGACCAGCATGCGACGAGGAAAAGAGGGATGATGAGTGATGGCATGATTGAGCCGTGGAGTTGAAGGATGAGTGGCCATTTGGAATGACCGCGGAGATCCCTTGGACCACTGAAGTAATTGCTATCATTCATGTCATCATGTACCGGAGGTGAAGGCGAGGGCAGATATTCCTGGTTTGGAGGAGTTTCAACGCCAGAGAAGTTCTGTCTAGCCTGGACCTCTGGGAGTGGCTTCATCTCCACTGGAGTATCTCGACCAGCGTCCGACATGGTGGAAAACGAAGCACGCGAGGAACAACGGCGAATAGTGCCTATGGATGAAGACAGATAGCAGAACGGAGTTTTCAAAGTGAAGACCTGCCCATGGCTTATAAAGGAGGCAGGTTCCACCATAAAAAATGATGCTTCCCAAAAGGGTCTCATATTTCGAGCTGAACATTTAGTGCTGATGGGACTTCTGATGGTCCGACATTAGTGCTGAGAATATTAGCAATTGCCAACAAGCTTTGGCATAAGCATTCGCCAAGGCGGTCTGACCCGCATACAAGCTTGAGAATTGATGCTTAATTTGGTAGTGGTCTGTCTAGAATTACTGTAATGGCTGGTGACTTATCGTGTGTTGCTGACTTGGTGTTTTCAGCTTCTAATTTTAGCAAGACTTCGAAGAACCTTTGCTAGGAGAGGTTAATTTTCTTAAGGTGTTGTTATTGTTCACTTTGACATAGGAAAATACAAACCGAGGCATCATTTGGACTTCTGCTGCTCACATGGTTTAGATGAAGTTGGTGTTGTTTGGGTATCTGATCGTCAATGTCGTTTGAGCAGCGAGGCTCTTCCATATAGCCTTATTCTGCACCGTCCAGAATAGTAACACCACATCCGCTACATCTATTACTCAATTACATGAGCCCCTCAGATTTATCTGTTATCTCCTCATTCATTGATACTGTGTTATCTGATTTCCTACTAGCCACCTCGTATCACCATTGTCAGTCCTTCATTCCACCGTTTCTGGTCCTCAACAAGATCAAGGTCCTTCAGCAACACGTTGCACCTTACACCCAAGTGGCTTCTTAGACTTCAACGTCAAACTCGGGTTTCTAAACTCCACCTCCTCATCTCCAACACTCCCGATCTTAAAGTCTCTGATCAATCCAACCAACAAGACTTTCATATTCAGTAAAGCCAAAGCTTTCCCGGGGCACATGCGAGGCCCATTTGAGAAGGTCTCCATCGCATATGGGCTCAAGGCATCGCCGGAGAGAATGTCCCATCGATCAGGATCGAAGGTCTCCACATCAGGACCCCAGATTTCGGGGTTCAGTTGTGTCACTGCTGGGACGAGCTGAACCGTTGTCCCTTTTGGGATCCTGACGCCTGCTATGTTGATATCCTCGAGTGCTTCCCATGGGATAATTAAGGTAGGCGAATACAAGCGAAGGGCTTCTTTGATCACGTTGTCGAGGTACGGCAGTTCGTCGATCGACTTGGCGGTCTTGTCGTCGGCACTAAGAGGGAGTATCTCACTCCTTAGCCGTTCCTGTGACTTTTGATCTTTTGAGAGGGCATAGGCTGTCCAGAAAAGGGCGCTTGCTGTAGTCTCGTGTCCTGCCGCGATGACCTGCATAGTCTGTAATTCCCGTCAGTGATATACCAATAGGTCGCAGAGCAGTTACGCACGATATCGATCAACTCATCTCTAGACAATTTCTGGTTCTCAACAGAACTAGCTTCAATCATCCTCGTCAACAAATCATCCGATAATCCATTGTCTGTACCCAGCTCCTTTGCCTTTGCTACCTCAGATGTCCGCTGCTCAATCAGTTCTGTCATCATGCTCTTGAGAGCAGATTTGGCCCTGATAAAGTTCAAATTTGCAGACACAGGTAGCCAACGGAGTGGGATGAAGGGATTGACGAAGCTGATTATCTGGCCGGCGAGTGGTTGTGCCAAGATACCATTGTAGCATTGTTCAAATGATAAAGGCGAGGTCTTTGAGCGAAAGTCTCGAAGTTCTTTGCCAACTAGTGAGACGCCGATGATGTCAAGTGTCACTCTTGTAAACAGATCCTCGACTGGTTCGATTTTGTCAGATGATGATAGAGATGAGTTGACTGGGGGCATACGTACGTTCTAAGACACCGTTGCTGCTTCGTTGAATCGCAGTTTCAATCTCAGTGTTCAACTTGCGAGAGTAGGTCACAAACGTCGGGAACAGTTTCCGGATACTCCGACGAGACAGAGGTCCTATCATAATGAGTATTCATAATCGTGATCCACGAAAGAAGGCCTTACCTGCAGTAATGCGCCTCAACCGCTTGTGCTGGTCACCAACGCTGAACAGCAGACCGACACCCAGAAAATCTCCGACAAGTGTATGAAAGAACGCCGGTTTCGCGAACCGATAAGCATTCGTTTGGAGGACCTCGCGACATGCCTCTAAGTTGTTTACGAGAACAACCTCTGTGTTGAGCCAAGAGAGACTGCGTATGAACGGGGCGTTCGGCCAATGCCGCATCCACTGGAGATAGAGCTCATTTGGTCCTGATCCACGGAGGATGCGCAAGGCATGGCCGACTAGGAATTGCTGGTTCTACCCAAGTCAGTGCACTGAGATATAGTGTGGCCTGGCAGAGCTCACTTTTGGTCCTGGAAGATGTCGTAACTGTGAGAACGATGGTCTTAGTAGGGCCTTGATGATGAAGTGTAGGCAAAGAGCAAGGAACCAAAGTTACCGCTCGTACCACCGAAACGCTCAACAGCCACATCTTCAGTCAGTGATCCTCTCAGCATAGAACAAACACAACTTGAAGCTCTGCATGTTTGTGTTTGTAATTATTTATGACTTTGCACTTCTCATGCTGACAAATTTCTGACTGCTGATTCACTGCATATCGATGTAACCCGGCGGCCGCTCTCTCAATCCGAAGCCCGCTTTTGGTTCTAGAATAGCCAATTGAGGGCATTTCACGCATCTATGCTCGGGATCTACAAATAGCTGCATATTAAACCCTCCAAAAGTAAGCGCTATACTCTATAGTCATGCGACTTTGTTTACATTAAGCGGACTTTAAGTGACCATATCACGGCTAAGCGTTAAAGAAAATAGTAAGACGAGCGTCTTAAGATCTTATTTATGCAAGGAAATAGAATGTATCCTATACAAAATCGGGGCTCATGCAGGAAGAACCATAGTGATTTTCTTTATCTCAGATTCTCGGTATAGGACGATGTAGAGAAGGCAGTCTTCATTCAGAAAGTAGGTTGACCATCCCATCTCATAATTGAATACCTCAAGCTCACATAAGAGACTCGACATGTTTCTCACCCATCTTCTTCTCCTCGGCTTCTACGCCCTGCAACTCGATCGCAGCATCAGCAACGCCCTGATAGATGGAAAAGAAATTTCTTTTTATATTTATAAATTAAAGCTAT